AAGGGACCAAGTGCTGAACTTTTTTACAGCGCAACGTCTTATAAAAACCCTGTACTGCTTGTAACAAATTGAGTCTCTGGTTGCACTTGGCGAAGTGGCAGCACGGCTCCCAATATTGCAATATTGAAATAAAGACCTTACTCAGGTGAGAACTCTCTCTTGTGGCTTCCTTGATAGTTATATTTCCATGACACTCTCTAAGCCTCTCGCTCTAAGCACAGGAGCTCCTTGGGGTTGTGCCTTATCTCCTCTCATTTACTCTCTGTACACAAATTACTGTCTTTCACATGCAGGTTCAGTCAAAATGTTCAAGTATGCTGATGGCTCTGCTCTCGTAGGGCTCATCACAAACAATCGTGAGTCAGTATACAGGAATTAAATAGCTCATTTAGTTAAACAGTGCAACCTCAACCTCAAACAAAAATGTGAGCAAAACAAAAGATCTTGTGGTGGACTTTTGGCAAAGCAAAGCAGCACAAGTTCAAGGCAGTGTAACGAACAGTTCTTTCAGGGCCCTATGCAGACGACACGATCCGGGGTAGAATGGGGAAAACACGGGGGGAAAAGTCATGCAGGAGACGGGAATGAAGACGGGGGGCGTGTGCAAAGTGCGCAGGTGTCCAGGGGGGTGAGTCCGGGGCAAACAATCCAAGAGTAAAGTCAAAAGGGAAAATCCAAGACGAAGGCAAAAGATCCAAAAACCGGGCGGTCCAAACGAGACAAACGATTTAAAAACAGGAGCAGGGTCGGAACCGGCAGGGAACAGGAACAAATAACAGAAACTAAAAACATAATGGAGCCAGGCGCAGTCAGGTTCCGGGCTTGCGTGATGCAGAAACCAATGCAGAGCCCCGAACTGAGTGGGCTTCTGGCTTTTAAGGGGGGCTGGAAGGAGGCTGGAACAAGGGGCAGGTGCACAAAATCAGGTCCAAAGTAAAAGAGCCAGAGCGCCCTTAAGGGGGAGGGACTACAATCGTGACAGGCAGGGTACACCCTGGACGGGGCGCCAGTCCATCGCAGGAAAAGTGCAAGCCAATCATACATGGGGACAATTTGGAGGCCATGGTAAAGGCAGACGGGGGAAATTTAGCCCAATCACTGGGATAACTCCCTACTCTTCTTGAGAAATTGCCCCGGGATCTTTAATGAGTCAGGACCTCGGTTTAACGTCTCATCCAAAAGACGGTTAGTACATACAGTGATCAAAAAAATATATCCAATTTCCTGGTAGTCTTCCACATTTATGCATTTGCTTCGCGTAAAATAGATAGTACAACAATGGTATTTTGATGGAGGAAGTTTCTCGTTGTAACTTTTTTAAGCAAGTCAATCCAAAGACGAATTGAAACTTTTAGATGTTCTTTCAACTGCCTATTTAAAAAGGTTGAAAACCCTGAAACCCTGAAAAAACAATGGCCAGACAGAAAATTGCAAACATTGTTATCCTCTCATCAAGTAATCCAGTGCCTGAACTGCCCAGAATGTGTTACTATTACTCAAGATGTTCATACATAGTCACATAATTATCCAAGAATAAGGCACTATATGTTGGGGATGAAAGCAGCTAGAAAGCTACTTCCAATAGCACAAATGCAGCACTAATGAATGAGACCTGTTTGGTTCTCTTGCACCATTTTAGTGGAACTTAGTGACATCACACCCCCGAAAAAAGATGCTATATCTTGGAAACGGAAGGATCACAAACATCACATTCAGTGGCACAAACCAGCACAAACAGAGCATTCACTAATGCGGTGGGTTTCATCATTTGTGCTGTTTGAAGGTGGGGCAACTTCCACAGACAGGCCCCCAGTACAAATGGTGACACAATAGTTTGAAACATGGCAGCCAACTGTAAAAGGTTGTGAATGTAAAGTGAATATTTAACAGACTGATATATAAAATAAATAATAATAATAAAATAAATAAAAATAATATTTCATATGTATACTCTGTTGACATTATTAGAGAATGAGTTAAAGATTCTCATTATAAAAATATGTTAGACACAATTGCTTTAAAAAACATTATATTTCTATAACTAACAGCACTTTCTCATGCTTCCTCTACTGCTCTTCCATATTATTCCTGCAGTAAAAACAAATTACCTACAGTTTGTATGGAAGCAAACTGATACATCTCAAGAGTATTCAGAATGGATTGAACTCCAGTCGGGACACTCCACTCAAAGCACTTACAGATAATGGGGACTCCCCTCCACCACCACCAATGTGTAGCAACCACTTGATAAT